TTACTTTTTTAGATTCACAATAAAAAAAAAACGTATACCGAATTTGTTTTTTCATATAACTGCCACTGTATTTATAGCAAGAACACGATATTTTTTTTAACCTCTGACTCTTTAAACGAAACAAAGAGAACAGAATAAGAAGGAAAGTTCAGTCCTCTGAAAACACAATAGGAGTCTAACCTTGAACAGTGTCTTTCGAAGACGTGCTGGCTGCAAGAAAGAACGTCTATTATGCGTTGTCACATGTAGAGTTAACACTTTTGATAAGGGCTGTTACTAAGTGCCGCAGTGCTGTTAGATAAAAAAAAACTGTAACTTAATGATCGATATAACAGTATGTGTGTGTGTGAGTGTGTACACAAATATATATATTTAATATATATATTTGCATATATGCATGTATGTATGTATGTATGTATGTATGTATGTATGTATATATACGAACTAAGAGGTTGACTAAGACAGCTGCAAAAAATATTCGGAGACAGTCAAATCTCCATCATCGGTGCTGTAATTAATGAACCCAAAAACAAAAATGTAGTTAGACAGTAGAAAACGTGTTTCTGATGGAAATATATTGAGTAAATATTGATATAAAAGACAAAATGATGTACATAAAAACAAAGATACAGTACAAAATACAAGAATATAATACAAAAGATATACACATGAAAAATATACACAAATGAAAGAAAGGTAATACAATAAAATTTGAGGATATGTAAACTTACCATTAAGAGTGTGTGAACAAGGTGGTTGCCGTGGAGTTGTGCAGCTTAGGAAATATTTTCTGTATAAATAGGAATTCTGAATGATGAGGTCTTGGCGGGAGAAATAAGACCACAGGATATGAAAATCTGTGTTGGAAAAAGGATGTGAATGTTGGAGAGAGTGCTCTCTTATAGCCGAGAAAGATGGCCAGTCAGAAATGACTTTATGTTCTAAAATGCAGTAATGCAACCACCTTCAGTTTGACCTTATGAACAATCGCTAAAAAAAAAATATCTCTACTTTTTCTGACTTTGCAACATGATACGATGATGAAAACGGTTAGAAAAAGTGTTGTGAGCTCGACCTGATATTGGTATCATTGATATTGGGGCATTATTTGGGGGAGGGGGCAATCCCCCCGAGTCACATTTTTTTTTTTTTTTTTACTAATTACATTTATATAGATCGGGTTATAGCTTAACATGCCCCTAGAATAACAAAATCTTCAAAAATTTTGTTCCCTTCGCTCGGCTACATTAAAAAAAATGCGACCACCAGCTTGGCGAGCGCTCCCAAGTCTACATGGCATGAATGCCCTTAACGCCGCCGTTAACTGTCGTCCGTCTGCAGAATGTTCCCATGCCGTAATTGCTTGGGAAACGACGGTATGACAATTGCGGGTATGGTCTTGGGGAAAGTCTCTACACATCGCTGCCCAAACATTCTCAGTGAGACTGAGATCTGGTGATTTGGGTGGATGTGGTACAGCATAATCTCGGATTGTTGCCGAAACCACGCCTTCACAAACTGCTCGTGTGAATAGGGCTGTTATCCTGGACGAGGTAAAATGGCTCCACGTCGGTTAAAACCATGGCCTTCACCGATGGTAGAAACATCTCGTCCAGGATTTCCACGAAGGCATACCCTGTAAATCTGCAAGGCACGATATCCATCAACTCTCCGACACCGCTGTTGTGCATCCACTCAAACTGCCCAGCGATTTCTGACAGTTTGCATGATGTTGCCAACAGAACAAAAGGGGTTTGTAACCCTTGCATTAGTTATGGACTGTTAAATAAAATGATAATAATGACAATAAACAATTAGTCTCTGATTCTGTATTATATTGTATTGTATTGTATTGTATTGTAGACTTTTGCATAAAAAAAACTGAACAAAATCACATTGACTATCTGATAAATCAATTTAGTTGTCTTTTAATACAATACTACAGAGGACTAGTATGCAGTGCAAATTTAGCTAGACATTGATCATCAAATAAAAATGGTTATTTGGATTAGAGACTCTACCAGTAGAAACTCTGATTGGAATCTCTACTGGTAGAATCTCAAATTCTACCAGTAGAGACTGCAATCGGAGACTCTACTGGTAGAAACTCCGATCGGAGTCTCTACTGGTAGAATCTCTGATTGTACCAGATTGCAGTCTCTACCCTGACATATATATACATATATATACATACATACATATATATATATATATATATATATATATATATATATATATATATATACATATATATATACATACATACATACATATATATATATATATATATATATATATATATATATATATATATATATATATATACATATATATATATATATATATATATATATACATATATATATATATATATATATATATATATATATATATATATATATATATATATATATATATATATATATATCAAGCAAACACAGAATATAGTAGAACCTATAGAGTTCAGATATACAACAGTTACAAACCAGCTAGTGGCAAA